GATCTCACTAAATTAACGCCAAAAATGGACTCCTTGGTAAATTTTGAGTTGAATGATGTGATCGTGCAAATTTCTGGGAAAGGATGATTTTCCGGCCACCGTGCACGGCTGCCGGCGGCGGCATTCCGGTTACCGGCCGGCGACACTCCGACGAGGCCCCGAGAGACAGAATGTTCTTCTCTTCACGCTGATCACGGAATCATCGCCCGATTCTCAATTGGTACGTTCTAAGACTAAATTCTCAATTTTTGTATATAAAGAATTAATTGATTAATGAATTTTATTGAGATATTAAATAAATTGAATTGATATTAAATAAATTGAATTGAATAATAAGTAAATTATGTTATTGGAAATAGCTTAAATATGTAAATGGCATTATAGTATTTTTGTAAAATATTAGATCGGTTAGCATGCGTAAATTATGATTAAGTTGACTGGTTTAGGATTTTAGAAGAATGTAATTGCAAATTAGTTTTAGAACATTGTCAAATAAATTACAATGAACCATAGATTATAATTAGGAGGTTTGATATTGAGATAAAAATCCCTAAACTAATATTTTATATAAGTTAATTTAGAGAATTTTAATAAATATTGTTAGGAGAAGTTATAATTTAAGGTAAATAGTTTGGCAATTAACACATTAGTGAATCACGCTTGGAGGTTAATTAGTTAAATTATTAAGTGTATATATGTAAGTGTGATAAGTGTGATGGATGATATATGTAGCTTATGGCGGTCGGGTTGAGTTGTTTCGAAAGGAGGATGGGAATATAGCTGATTGATTGCCCGACGGATGGGCTGTGTGTATTGATTGATTAATATATAATAATCTTGTGTTATCTAAACAGTAGGATAGTCCAAATTTTTAGGGGAAATGCTGCCGAAATTTCAGTAGAACCTAGACTGCACATAATCAATAAGTTTATTTACATTAATTGTGCATTGATTAATATATAATAGTTGTTGTTTAATGTTACTACTATTTATTTATTTATTTGCATTGATTTTGAATGTTTAATTGTACATTGCAATACGATGTTTAATTGATTAATATGTCTGCATTTGATTGCAACGTTTGATTAATTGTGCTGTGATAATGCTATGCTCTGTTTGTGTGGAATTGGGATGAAGTTGGGATGAAGTGGGTCCACCATGGTTTTGTGAGAACGGTCGATAAATAATGGATCCTGAAATGAAATTATGAATTGGAACCATCGGCCGGGTAAATGGGAAGAATCGGCGCCCCTGGTGTGCAAACCTGATGAAACTGATGAAATGGATTTTGATATATAGGAAAAGAAAAAGAGAAAATGTAAAATAAAATAATTGAAGAGGAACTGGTCAAGTGGAGGATTAGACGCGGTCCCCGGCCAGATATGGGGATTGGCTCCCTGGGTGCACCATGTTTGAAGGATGGGCTGTTTGAGAGGATGGCTCGTCGGGGTTTAGGTGACGTACTGACTAATTTTCCACGTGATGTGAATTATATGAAGAATGTTTAATGATTGTGAGTGCTGGTGATGTGCCATTGTGGTGACTGGCTGCGTGAGCATATAAAACTAGTCGGATGACTAGAGTTGATATGTTTACACATTTGTGTGACTGTGTGTGGTTGTGCAATAAAGTATTACTCTTTAGAAAACTTAACATGTTCTTGTTTAATTTTTCAGGAAGTAAAAAGTTTCCCTCTTTAAATTCGATTTAGGTTACGTTTTCTCGTTCGAACGCAATGGGCACTAAAAGAAATTTTCCATAGTTCCATAATTAATTTTACTAATGTAACTGTATGTTATAAAAGGCTATGTTATATCAAACAGTTAGTGACTCCGCAGTTGTAGAAAATTTATTTACATTTAGACGTGTATAGTAAAAAATGTGGGATGTATTGTTTAATTAGGCCCCGAAACTGTGGAATGTGGTAGCTGATAATTTGGGCCCCCGAAATTTAAAATAAAATCTTGAAGGTTTATTTTCCTATAAATATGGGCTGAATGTTTAAAATTAATTTCGAGATAAGTAAATTTTTTTTGTGTTCCAGGCTTACTACGGGTCTCGGGGGCCTTAAGCTTACCTGGATCCGTAGTTGCCAGTCTGGCCCATGGAATCGGGTCGTGACAGAAAACGTACGGAATATATTGGTAAATAAATAAACATCATTTATAATTTTTTTCTTAAATTTAGTTTCAAAAAATGTTAGTATTTTGTGATCATTCATTAATAAAAAAAAAACAAAAATAAATTAAAAAAACACTTCATTTTTTCTTAGTAATAAAAAAAAAATCTCTGTTGATTAGCTTAATGTATGGAGTAGTCTCATATAACAGAAGCTAGGTTGCATAGATACGGAACACGAGATATGAAAACGTACGCGATACGATGATTTTAAAAAAGTAGGATATCCACACGCTTATAACTCACTACACTAAATAAGTATAATACATTAATATTTCAAATAAAGAAGTAATTATTTATAATAAATCATAAATAAAAAATAAAAAATACTTAATTTCTTATTTCAATATAATTAGTTAAATTCTCAAAATCATTATCACTAACATTTGTCACTTTGAAACGTTATTGTTGGTTTATAGAAGATAGATGTTGAAAATATACACAATTTGCACAAAATTTAGCACAATTGTAAAAATTGTAAAAAGATCCGTTGTTTTATATTTTCAGATAATTCCTCTATCAAGATTATATCTATAAAAAAAATTATCTCTAGCATCTAATTTAATATATTAACATAAATTTATTTCTTCTTATAAAACAATTAATAAGAAATCCCCACGCTTAAAAACAGTGTGAATAAACAATATAATACTATTAAATAAATAATATATAAGCAATTTAAAAAATATATATAAATTAAAACGTATGGGATACGATAATTTTTAAAAAAAGTAGGGCATCCACGTGCTTAGGATACGTTACACTAAATAAATAATACATTAATATTTCAAATAAATAAACAACAAACAACAATTTATAATAAATTATAAACATAAAATAAAATAAAAACTTAATTTCTTATTTCAATGACAAAAATATTTAAAAATACTTCATTTTTTATTAGTAATAAAAAATATTGGTTGATTAGCTTGGTGTATAGAGTAGTTTCATATATCAGGAGCTGAGTTGCATAGAAATGGGACACGAGATATGGAATATATGGGATACGATAACTTTTAAAAAAAGTAGGACATTCACTTGCTTAAAACACATTACACTAAATAAGTAATATATTAATATTTAAAATAAATAAACAATCATTTATAATAAACATAAAATATAAACATAAAAATAAAAACATTTAAATTTCTTAATTTCAAGAACAACAAAAGCAAATTAAAAAAAAAAAACACTTCTTTTTATTGGTAATAAAAAAATCTTAAGTTGATTAGTTTGGTGTATGGAGTAGTCTTATTTACCACAAATATAGGACATAAGATACAAGAAATATACAAAATATGATAATTGTGAAAAAAAAGGCATAGAACAGTTATCACAACGCTTATGACACAGTAACACTAAAAATAAGTAAATATAATTAATATTTCAATAAATAAATAATCTTTTATAAATAAATTAGTAAACATAAAATAAAAAAAACTTAATTTCTTAAATTTCATGAACACAAAAAACAAATTAAAAAAATTTTAATTTTT